TGATGATGATGATGATGATAATAATGATGATGATGATGATAATGATGATGATAATGATGATGATGATGATAATAATAATGATGATGACAATGATGATAATGATGATGGTGATAGTGATGATGATGATGATGATGCTTATTTATGATAATGTTGATATAACAAAGTTTGTATATTTAAAAAAAAACATTAATTAGTGAACCAATAGGCCTTTTGCATGAATTGAAACGGTCACACATGGTACTAAATCCGCCAAACTTGATTGCAAAAGAATGTAAAAAAAAACTCAAAAAGAAAAGGAACGCAGCCGGTCAAACTTGACTTTGTTTCGAACATAACGTTGGGTATTTTGCAATCCAGTATGGCGGGTGTAGTAACCGTTTCATGCAAAAGGTCTATTTTCAATAAGAGATCATTTTCAAAACAAATTTAACGATCGCAGAGGCTCTTGGATGTACTTGGACGTAGTAATCTGAATAAAAAGATTTACCCACATTTTACATGGTGCCGCATCGTGATGTACTCGTGACGTAAGTTCAGGACGCTAACTAATGTTTTTACTTTTAGTTCACTGTAACAGCTTAAGACAAACAGCAACCATCATCAAAATGAGCCAGGCTCATCTTCGAACAGGCGACAAGGCCAATGTCACATTTCGCTTCATCAAGCACCCAGAATTCCTCAAACCAAATACCCGGATGATATTTCGTGAAGGTCGAACAAAAGCTGTCGGGACCATAATAAGAATAGACCCTGACGCACACCCACCCCCGCAGGTCGCCGGTAAGATCAAACATCGGGGTCCTGGAAGGGGACATCATGCGTCACGTGACAAGAGTAAGGAAGGTAATGCAGGACAGTCTGCGCATGCGTCGACGTCCGGAACGTAGCATCTAATTAACTCTTAATTACAAGTGCACAGAATTTTATCAAGTTGTTTTAAAAAGGTTTGGTTTTATTATCGCGGAGCAAGAGGACGGAATGAATATTCTCATTTTCTTCGTTCAAGTCTCACTGAAGATTAGGGTTCGTTACGTGACATAAACGTGTTTTCCGTTAATGCGCGTGCTGTGGAAGAAGTGATTTTTGAATATGTTATTACAGAAAGAAGATTTGTAAAGCTTACGGAAGAACAGGGTTTGTCATGGGAGATGAACTTGTGTGTTTGCTAACTGAAACACGTTTTAGGGACAGAAATGAAGCATTTTATTGTAAATACGAGGGCAGAGAGAAGATTTTCTTAGTTTTTAAGTACACAAGTCAAAGACTAGGGGTTTTTATCACGTGATATACACGTGGGGATTGGAATGAGGTATTTTAAATCCATCACTGTAAGATCGGTGTAAATAGAAGTTAAATCACCAATGTGGGCAAGTAAAGCACTGGCATTGTAAGCTGATCGAACGACAATTGTGTTATCAGAAGCGCGAAAAGTCATTGAGAAATAAACGGAAAGGAGGAAAATAATGTAGAAACAAAAACGTGTTGCTCTTTTTTATTGTTATTATGATACAGCAATATGTTCTAGAATCAAATGCTTATGTTTATATTCAACACTCCATATATTACATGGGCGCGCGGGAATACGGATTTTATCTTCGAGCGTTGAAAACATCTCAACACGAGAAGATAAAATTCGTATCTCCAAGCGACCATATAATATTCTATTTATCATATAATTGTATATGAAAGCAAATTGTGTCGTAAAATAGCTTTTTTCTTACATTCACTATATAAAGAAACCTCGAATGTGTTATTTTCACTAGTGAAGATATCGAGTTTACGAAATGGAGAAATCTAGGTATTTCATAGATAATTATATGATAAATGTTGTTATTCAATAGGAGACTATGAACAATGGACACTCCAAACTGGGCTGCCAAAACTGTCTTTTCAAAAGTTCATAACGCCTTTTATCGAGATCTTTCATAAATAAAGAAAATTGATTCTCGGGATTCTCTTTGGGTCTGGGCGGACATGTCTGACAAATGGAAAGTCCCCCTTAGATACAACCAAAAATGACTGAAAATTGACTGAAACTGAAATTCAGATTTACGATATACTGCTTCCATACTATTACATTAGAGACGCTATTCATCATCATTGTTTCCCAGTCATACAAATTAAAACAACTCTACAGGTATTTGATACTAAGCTGATATAAGTAGACTTGCTATTTACTACGCCGGGTATATAATCATAGTCTATTTGTTTAGGTCGTTAGGCCGTAGTCTCATAGAAGACTTCGACATCACTTGGTGTGAACCTCTCCTTACCAACAAAGAAAACCTCACATGAGATTGTACAGCCAGGGGGGGTTTGGTAGTAAACGCCAAGATATGAGAGGGAATAGTCGTTATTCGATGCGTTATTTGATATATGAAGGCCAGTTCTTCTATAACAGCCAAATGTTGGTCCATGCGTAGCATAACCACGAATAGCACGTTTGTTGTCTAGTCCTGTCATGTTCAGCTTCACGGGCTGATATCCCTTTATGTTGTACAGCGAGTACAGGAACGACTGATTTGAAGAAAAACAGCCACCAATCTCTAACACAAAAAAATTTCAATTATATTTGAAACTAAGTAACTTTGCTCGAGTGACATTAATTTTTTTTTTTTGAAATAATTCATATAATAATTCACTATCTTGTGTGTGTTTGAGGTCATGACAAAATATAAGATCAATAAAATTTGTAGTATCAGTTGTGAGTGTAGGGTCCCCTACAAATTTATACACAACACAGGCTGTTAATATCGCTCCGAGTAGTCAGTCCTCTATAACAGCAACTATGTGATTCTCTTAACAGCATCAGAGGGGGGGGGGGACCTGGTAACGAGCCACATAACGGAAGAGAAGTGAGTAGTCTATATGTCAAACCACATGATACACAGATCAGCGGAAATTCAATAATATAATGCACTTTTCCTTATTGCGGTATATGAAATCCACTCATTACGGCTTATATCATCTTTTACTTACTGTGCCAAGATACGTCAGAGTATCCACCGAAAACGTATTGGTTGACGAGAACAATGGTAACCGAAGGTCCACGACCGTCGCATTTCGGGTGAAATTGTTTTTCGACGTCCCATCCATCTGAATTGGCATGCCAGCACAGGTTCCAATGGCTGGTGCTGCGATCCTGCAATACAGGATCTAGATATGTTGTTAGGACCTGCAGATAGCTGACATTACCATAGTTAGAAAGAATGGAGGATTTCTCGAGTCCTCCTGAAATACAATCAATATAAACCATTGATCATAACAT